GTTAGTTTAATACCTATATATTTTAATAAATATTTATTATTGATTTAAATACAGATTATAAATCTGTTTACATTGATTAATATTGGTGTGTGTATGTACCCTTKTGAACTATTTTAACTCTCCCTGGAAAACAACGTTGAAAATTAAGCCAACAGACTAGAAATCAWATCCACGTTTTTTGCTTGTAGGGCGATTACTCTACGTCTAAAATACCCAACCGCACAGACCCATTATGCTATCCTTTCCAGTTAATGAACGTTTACAATTAAAATCTTTATTTAATTTTTTAATTTTTATTGGTATTGTACTATACCATATTGGTATTTTTTTATTTTATTTTATTTTAGGTTGGGAATGGAAGGCATAATTGATCCAATAAGAATTGATCAACCTATTGTGATAAATAATGAAGGTTCATGCATGGAGTTTTCAAAACCTGAAGATACTATATCATTAGATGAAAGAGATGATAAATTTTCAGATACAAATTCTAGTTCCTTGTCAAGTGTTATTGCTGAGGAAAATGGTCTAGGTAAACAAAACCTTTTACAATAGTTATTTTTTTTACTTTATAACTTAACTAGCAAGTTAATTTTGTAATCATTTTACGAACTTAACTAGTTAAATTGACAGGTGAAAAACTTTTCTTAGTTGATTTAAAATTAGTCCTTAAATAAAAATAATCCGATACTATAATTATTCAAACATTTCTATTATTTTCTCATAATCGAACTTACAGGTTTTTTAACAAACGCATGAGTAGCTTTCTCTTAATAATCAAGTAAAGTACTGTACTATACAATATACATTACTATAAAAGTTCAATAAAACTGTTTATAATAATTTTGGAAATTAGAAAGAATTAACAACATAGTCATTATTGAATTAATTATTTTTATTAACTTGCCACCTTTGATAAATAGCAATATATAATATCATATTATATTTTATGATGTAGAACGACATTTGAGCACAACTAATTGTATCTTAAATACTGTCGATGGACTGTTACCACTTGTAGATGATGTACAAGATAGACTTCGGCAGTTAAATTTAGAGCATAAGGTAAATAAATTAATAAATTATAAAAATTAACCATTAGTATTAATCATCATTGAAATGTTGGGTTTTAGAYGAGAGAAGCAGCACTTCAAAATGAATTACATGTCACTCGGCTAGTACTGTTGCGGCAAGCAAGCCATCGTTGTATTGAAGCAACTACTACGCCTGATGTGAATGGTCTATCACTAGCAGAAAAAATTGATGATGATGTGCGTAGCTTATTTAAAATTTAAAAGTATTAGAAACCTTATTTGGTATACTGATACAATTATCTAGTCATGTATTAGAATGAGGGTGGAGTAATTTTTTGAAGGTATCCGTGTGTAGCAGTACAGGAGGAGAGACGACATTGTCGTGGGAACCTGTGGAGTCGTTCGATGCTCAGCCAACTCTGTGGGTACCGGATCACGCAGTTTCCCAGTGTATGTCGTGCGACAACAAGTTTTGGCTGGGAAGGCGGAAGCATCACTGTAGGCGAGTAAAAGCTTTCTTTTTCTAAATACATTTTATGGTTTTATTAGCTTGCATCAATATTATAYTTTTTTAAATTTATTATTATTAGAAGTTGTGGAAAAATATTCTGTGCTGACTGTTCACGAAATCTGGTTCCACTGCCAGCTGAACAACTCTATGAACCTGTAAGAGTTTGTGAGCCATGTTTTTCAATCGGAGCTTTAAGGACCACCAGTTCTTCAACTACCATCACATGTAAGCAAGCTGTTGCAGATGATCAGAAAAATGTTAACATAACTTTACAACCGGCACCATCAAATTAAACTAAAATGATTTATAGGTGAAATTTGATCAGTTATACACATATTATGTAATATTGTATTCTGTATGAATTGCATGGAATCATTTTTGTAGGGTGTTCCTTACTATAATACAATTGAAAGTTGTGATGCGTCCAAACAAAATTATTATTGTTTTTTGTTTACTTTTATTATCTAAAACTTATTGGTTCTCTGACTATTAATTATCCAACCGAGTAGTAAACATCTTTACATGAGTAACGTATAAGAATGATTTTAAGGTGTAGGCTCTTTACTAGTAGATATTAACTTTTATGGTTACCCCACGAGATGGACAATTTTTTGTGCACTTAACAATATTTTAATTTTTTCTGTTATGTTTAGTTATTTTATGTATATTATTATAATAAAAATAAGATTTAACAATTTCTGGAAGTTTATTTACTGTTATAAAGTAATAAATATAATTATTACATATCCT